CCCCAAAACCCCAAAACCCCAAAACCCCTCAGTAAAGTATTGAATGTATAGGTAGAATAGTAAATTTAATAAATTAAAAAGTAAATGAGATAAAAGTAATAAGTTCAAGGGTCTAAAAATACTGCTGTTTCAGATATAGATCATTAAATTTAAGATGATTATGAACCTAATCTCAACCACTAGCTTATAAAATTAGGTACCTAATTAAACTCCTCAATTTCTAGAGAGTCAAAACTAAAAGGATCAGCCATAAAATATCGACAATGAAGAAGATAGGAAGTATGATGAAAGAATCTAAGATCCGCAACATCAATAAGAAGCCATTGATAATTAAGACATTGAGTTACTTGAAATGGGAGACATAGATGAAAGAAATCAACAGTCTATGAGAAATGAGAGAAGAATTGAAAATCAAAGCCAAGTGCACATGGATCATCTCAAATTCAGTAAGTATTCAGAACTCATTAAAGAACAGTCGATTAATATTTTATTTTGTGGGAAATCTCAAATTTTTTTAGAAAATGAGTTCACTCCATTTGGTGATAACTTGATTATTAATTAAGGTAAGAAGAGCTACTATTCCTGATAATTTTGTTCTATAGATATGGACTAGGGCAGATCAAGTGTAGGATCGATTTATGTAGATCAAAGTATAGTCATTTTTATATTTGAATTCACTTATAGTCCAACAAGTATCTCAAGATGGAATTAAAGTTGTACATCAAGACCTTGGTAAAATTTATCTTCAATTTTTATCATGTGATAGATTCTAACAGTATCAAGGATTCTTTAATGCAACAGCAGATTGATGTATTCTTGTTTGTAAATCCTAAAAGTGGCTCCAAGCATGGCTAGAAATTCCTAGACTTAGACTACAAGGATATCGTCATTGAAATCGATCCCACCACTGAAGTCGTTTTTCATATTACAAATTTAACAATAAAAGATAAAAAAGACAAAGCTCTCAAAGATATGTTCTAAATCTAGTAGCAGAGAAAAAACGTCTATAAAATCAAAACTCTTTCTTAAAATTAACAATTCAAGAGCAATTTAGCAAGTACCAACATGAGTTCAGGAAATCATAGAAGATTGGTTTTAGCAATAGCAGGTGGTGACGGGACAATGATGTTTATTGCTCAAGATGCTTTACAAGTAGGTCTAAGTTTAGATGAAATAAGCATTTGTGTACTTCCTTTCGGAACTGGAAATGATCTAAGTCAAATATTCGGTTGGGGTTCTCAGCCAAAGGAAATCTGGACTAAAAAGCTGAAATCTCTTGCAATAGATATATTAGAAGCGATCGATGAGACCTTCAATGTCTGGGATATTACAGTGAAATTAAGATCAAATGGTGACATTAGACAGTGGGATAGCAAAGAAAAATCTAAAGTATCGCAAAATATAAACCCATATGAAAGACCTATGAGTAACTACTTTAGTATTGGTGTAGAATCTCGAATAGGCCTCGGATTTGAAAAGTCTAGAACAAACAGTGCATTTAAAAATAAATGTGTCTATGGTTGGGAAGGTCTTAAAAAGATGTGCTGCTGCTCGAAAACTCTCAAGATAAAGGATGTTATAACTCATGTAACTAAAGTAGATGAGAACAATTAGGAGCAATTGATGTTTCACACTGGCTTTGATAAAACTATTGACAAAAATATACCAGTTTTAAGTAAATTTTCAAAGTGTAATGATAATTTTTTAGAGGGAAATCCAGTTTCCTTAGTGTGTACTAATATAAGTTCAATGATGGGAGGAAAAGCAAACGTTTGGTAGTCAGGCCACGGTAAGGCAACTGGACTAGCTGATAATTAGGGGAGGAGTCTTACATAAGAACAGTTGAAGCTAAATGATGCCTAGTCACACGATGATGATATTCTTGAATTCGAAACAATCGCTTCAACTATCCATCTAGGATTAGGTAAAGGCCAAAGGATTGCTTAAGAAAAAGGCATTTTCAATATTCACTTTAGAGAGCCAGCTGAAGGGAAATACTTAACAACTTACATATAAATAGATGGAGAATTTTACAGACTGGAAAATCCAGAGAAAATATAGATAAAACTTAGTGATAGCCTAGGTCATCTTAAACTCCTAAGGTATAAAGAATCGGACAAGTGACTCTGACCGAATCTACTAATGAAATTCTTATCTACTTATTTTAATGCTATTTTATTTGCTTTTAATGAGGATATCAATCATTCCGTTCGGGGTTTTGGGGTTTTGGGGTTTTGGGG